CTGTTTAAAAGCATCCTGCAGCCCTTTAAAAGGGAGAGTCATATTTTAATGGCAGATGTTTTAATGTTTACTAGAGTAGCAGGCAGTTTGAATTCAGTTGATGTTTCCAGAGGTTCTGATGCAGTCGTGCAGGTGCTCTTAGGACATGCCCATCACTTACTGAAGTAGGTCTTGAAGTTGATTATACCTTCACTTTTTCACAGTTGACAGAACTCGCCAAAGGAAAGAAATGAAGCCTGCAAACGTCACTGGAGTAACAAAGAAACAATAATAGGCCCTAGTCAATGGGCAATATGCATGAGAGACAATAAGTGAGGAATATTGTACTAATACTAACAGCCCTTCAGAGTAAAAGAAAGATTTAGATCAACATAGATCGTAAAGGGTGAAGGGGAATGGGGCAGGGCACCATGAAAATTGGTGTACCAAAGAATACCTATCCCCCCCACAAGTTTCTTGATCCAACCACACATGCACATGTTGTGTCTCTGCAAGTTAAGGCTGTGAATGCACATTAACAGTAAGCCATCTTCAACTCACCATCTTTTTCCATTTAGAACGTGCAGTCTGCATCATTAGTTCATGTTTTGTAACCACCATAACAAAGATCAAAATGTTCAAGAATCAAGAGACTCTTGTTTTGTCTTCAGTCAAAACACAATGACAAAACATCCGCGTTGTCTGTATTCTAGTTCTTCAAACTCAATCGAATTGCACAATAAATCAGCTATTTAGTATTTAAAAGAAGGAAAATTAAACTCTCTATTGTGTACATAAGATCTTTGGCTTTATGAATTGATAAATGAAAAACTATAGAAACGATCTTATTAAGACTATGTCAATAATGATGTTGGGCGATCGCAGCAAGAATTGGGAACTAATAGATTTGCAATAGAGTGCTGCAATGCCTACTTTTTTAACACCGGGTGATGTAATGAATGGTGTAATGCGTGGAATGAACTGCCAGAGAAAGTGGTAGATGCAGGTACAGTTATAACATTTAAGAGATACTTGGATAGGCACATGAATAGAGGGATATGGGCCAAACACAGGCAAGTGGGACTAGTTTAGTCTGGGAAACTTGGTCGGCATGGATGAGTTGGACCGAAGGGTCTGTTTCAGTGCTGTATGTCTATGTCAGTTGTGGGAACGTGGTCAATTTTCCGTCCAGTGGGTGACAGATGCCGAGATAACACCATAAGACAGCTGAATGGTCTACCTCTGCTCCTATCTAGTGCTCCACCGTCCATTGAGATCATGTCTCAACTTCACTTTCCTGCCTTTTCTCCATAACCCTTAATTTCATTACCAATCAAAAACCCATGAATATACTTAACCCAGCCTTGACGGACCTCTGTGGTAAAGAACTTCATAAATCCAAAATTTCTTTGCAAAATATGTACATAGTTCACAGAGTGAGCAACTATGACAAGCAATGGCTCTAATGCTAGCATATTTTCCCTTGGATAAGGATACCAAAATTTTGTTTTTGTACACAAATGGGATGAGGATGCTGCTAACATTTATTGCTGGTTCTTAGTTGCCCATGGTTCGTGAGCATAGTGTTCTAGCTGTAGTCTTATCTAGTGCCTTGTGTAGGTTTAGCAAGACCTCCATATTTCATATCCCATTAACTTTGAAATAAAGGCCAACATTCCATTTGCCTTCTCTGTTATCCACTGAATAGGGATGCTAGCTTTCCTTGTGATTCCCTCCAGAAGGCCGTGAAGCTTGACCCTGGACCCAGGGAGGCAACCTTCCTGGAATCTTGACTGCAGCCACAGAAACACCATGTCTGTAGCCCTCACTATGTTGCCTCCTATCATTATTGCACTTTCTTGCTCATACCACCCCCTACTCCCAACATGGATTCAAATCTCAACATGGGAAATGTGAGTTCAATTTTATTAAAAAAACATCTGGAATAAAAAGCTTACCAAATGGCACCCATTAACTACTGTTGATTATTGTTAATAAAAAACCTATCTGGTCAATTGATGTCCTTTAGGGAAGGAAATCTGCTATCCTTACCTACCTGTTATGGGGTACGTGAGACTCTGGACCCCTAGCAATATATTTGATTCTTAATTGTCAAGAGGGTTGTGCTGGTCTAGCCAGCAACACCCATGTGAAAGGATCTCTGTTTATCTCTCCCTGAGCCTAATTTCCAAATTCATTTGTGCTAGCTCTGTCTTGAAGCCCTCATAATTGCCCTATTTTAATGTGAACCTCTCTCTTTCCTTTAAACACCAGACATGATTTGTTCAGTACAACTCTCCCATCTAAAGAGTCAATCTCATGAACCTTTGTTGTACCACATCCAAGGTAGCTCTATCTTCTCTAAGAAATTAGATATGTTTAGATCCCAGCTGATGGCAACACTGGATAAGTCAGATCCCAGAATGAAACTGGCTTGATAGAGCATGTATTTACGTTTTGAGTTGGTTAATTAGATATTATTCACTAAAATATCTTCACACCAATGTCCAAATTATCTTTAACAACACAATACAAGCTTAATACAGAAAGTAAATAATCAAATATCTTTCTCTGTCTAAATATAGAAGATAGATCTTAATACAAACATCAGAAAGTTTTAACCTGTTTCCCAATAGTATCTGTTTGAGACTAAATTCTGGAGAAATATCAAGCTTCTCTCCACTTTTTAAAACTGTTTACTTAACTGATACTTTTCAGTTTCTTTCCTTTGAACTGTGGAGACAATTTTATGATTCCTTTGAGTAGACTGGTATGAACCTCACAGTTCAGATGACTTAAAACTACTTCAGTTGTGTGAACTAGAAGATGTCTATCCAAATTCTAAAATAAATCAAAGAACTGTGGCTAATGGAAATCTGAAACAAAAACAGAGATTGTTGGAGAAACCCAATGGGTCTGGCAGCATCTGTGGAGAGAAAGCAGAGTTAGCGTTTTGGTTCCAGTGACCTTTCTTCATTACCACCTCCCCTTTCAGCTTCTTGGATTTCCTTTTTGAGACTTAGAAAAATTTCTCAATACCTTGTTCCACATTCTTTTCCACTGGCACAACTGCTTGGAAGTTGATGAGGTTGATGTGTGAAATTTATGCTATCCGAGCTGGAGCGTTTGGTCTTGAGTGAAACAAGCCCTTCAGCCCAAACTGGTTCGTGCTGACCATGGTGCCCACTCAGCTAGTTCCAATTGCCTGCATTTGGTCCATATCCCTCTTAAACCCTTCCCGTCTATGTACCTATCCAAACCTTTTGTAAATGTTGCTCTTGTACCTGCCTCAACCACTTTCTCTGGCAGCCCATTCCATATACACCCCCCTCTCTGTGTGAAGAAGTTGCTCCTCAGGACGTTCTTAAATCTTTCCCTTCTCACTTTAAACTTATGCCCTCTAGTTTTCAATTCCCTATCCCTGGGAAAAAGGACTATATGCATTCATCCTATCTATGCGCCTCATGATTTTATACATCTCAGTAAAGTCACCCCTACATTCCAAGGAATAAAGTCCTATCCTCTCCCTATATACTCAGGCCTACTAGTTCTGGCAACATCCTCGTAAATCTTCCTTGTATACTTTCCAGTTTAACTATGTCTTTCGTATAACAGGGTGACCAAACACGACATTCTAAGTGCGGCCTCACCAACGACTTATACAACTGTAACGTAACTGTAACTCCAATACTGAATACCTCGACCGATGAAGGCCAGCATGCTAAATGCCTTTTTCACCATCCTGTCCGCTTGTGATGCCACTTTCAATGAACTATGTACTTGTACTCCTAGGTCCCTCTGTTCCACAACACTCCTCAGGATCTTGCCATTTACTGTACAAGTCCTACCTTGGTTTGACTTTCCAAAGTACAACACCTCACACTTATCTGTATTGAATTGCATTTTCCAATCCTCAACCCACTTCCCCATCTGATCAAGAACCCTCTGTAATTTTTGATAACTTTCTTCGCCATCAATGATACCTCCTAATTTTGTATCATCCGCAATCTTACTAATCATTCCTTGTACGTTCACATCTAGATCATTTATGTAAATAACAAATAAAAGGTCCCGGCATCGACCCCTATGGCTCACCACTAATCACAGGCCTCCAGTTTGAGAAACCATCTTCAACCATCATCCTTTGCTTCCTACCGTCGAGCCAATTATGAATCCAATTTGCTAGCCCTCCCTGGATCCCATTTGACCAAACTTTCATGAATAGCCTGCCATGCGGGACCTTGTCAAAGGCCACTGCCTACCCTCATTCATCCTCTTGGTTACCTTTTTGAAAAACTGCAAAAGATTTGTCAGATATGACTTCTTGTGCACAAATCCATGCTAAGTATCCCTCATCAGACCTTGACTATCCAAAGATAGTAGGAACTGCAAATGCTGGAGAATCTGAGATAACAAGGTGTAGAGCTGGATGAACACAGCAGGCCAAGCAGCATCAGAGGAGCAGGAAAGCTGATGTTTCGGGCCTAGACCCTTCTTCAGAAATGGGGGAGGGGAAGGGGGTTCTGAAATAAATAGGGAGAGAGGGGGAGGCGGATAGAAGATGGATAGAAGAGAAGATAGGTGGAGAGGAGATAGACAGGTCAAAGAGGCGGGGATGGAGCCAGTAAAGGTGAGTGTAGGTGGGGAGTTAGGGAGGGGATAGAACGGACAGGTCAAGGGGGCGGGATGAGGCTAGTAGGTAGGAGATGGGGGTGGGGGCTTGAGGTGGGAGGAGGGATAGGTGGGAGGAAGGACAGGTTAAGGAGGCGGGGACAAGCTGGGCTGGTTTTGGGATGCGGTAGGGGGAGGGGAGATTTCGAAGCTTGTGAAGTCCACATTGATACCATTGGGCTGCAGGGTTCCCAAGCGGAATATGAGTTGCTGTTCCTGCAACCTTCAGGTGGCACCGTTGTGGCACTGCAGGAGGCCCAGGATGGACATGTCGTCTGAGGAATGGGAAGGGGATTGAAATGGTTCGCGACTGGGAGGTACAGTTGTTTAGTGCGAACCGAGCGTAGGTGTTCCGCAAAGTGGTCCCCAAGCCTCCGCTCGGTTTTCCCAATGTAGAGGAGGCCACATCGGGAACAGTGGATGCAGTATACCACATTAGCAGATGTGCAGGCAAACATCTGCTTGATGTGGAAAATTTTCTTGGGGCTTGGGATTGGGGTGAGGGGGGAGGTGTAGGGGCAGGTGTAGCACTTCCTGCTGTTGCAGGGAAAAGTGCCGGGTGTGATGGGGCTGGAGGGGAGTGTGGAGCGGACAAGGGAGTCCCGGAGAGAGTGGTCCCTCCGGAAAGCAGCAGATAAGGGTGGGGAGGGAAAGATGTCTTTGGTGGTGGGGTCGGCAAAGACATTCACCAAAGTACGCTCACCTTTACTGGCTTCATCCCCGCCTCTTTGACCTGTCTGTCTCCTCTCCACCTACCTTTTCCTCTATCCGCCTCCCCCTCTCTCCCTGTTTATTTCAGAAACCCCTTCCCTTCCCCCATTTCTGAAGAAGGGTTGAGGCCTGAAACATCAGCTTTCCTGCTCCTCTGATGCTGCTTGGCCTGCTGTCTTCATCCAGCTCTACACCTTGACTATCCAAATGTTGGTTGATCCTGTCCCTCAGTATTTTCTCCAATAGCTTGCCTACCACTGATGTCAGGCTCACTGGCCTGTGGTTCTTTGGCTTGTCTTTGCTACTTTTCTTAAACAAGGGAACAACATTAACCACCCTCCAGTCTTCCGGAATGTCACCAGCGGCTAAAAATGACACTAGCCACCCTCCAATCTTCTGTCCATTTCTTTTATGTCTGTAAGTTAGTTGCTTTCTGTGAACTAACATGCAACAAAGAAAACCTTTTTCCCAAAACAGGGCAATTGTGTAAACTTGAAATTAACGTACTTTTTTAATACTGTTATACTCCCCTTCTTTCTTCATCTCCAAAATATGCATAAAGTCTTTTACTGTTTGGTATTTATCACTTACTTGGAGTTTTTAGGAGTACTCTGTGAGTAGGTTGTGGATAAATGTGCTATATAATCTGAGAATGAATTCTCCGATTTGCAAATAATGAAATTAAAATTCATAATGGTGCTGACATTTTCTGTGCAGCACTCTTTTTGGGTGAGTTGAAAGCCATTGTTTCCTTCTGAACCCATTAGCTCCCTTGAAAATGATGGATATACCATAGTTGTTGCTGAGATATTGTATCTTTAAAAGCGATGATTGATGCAATGCAGCATAAACAGATATTTTAAAACATTTAAAATACATTTTTTAATCAATTGTGCAGGGTTCATGGTAAAAGTTGGAAAACTGCACTCTTCTGAAATCGTGAAATATATTGAAAAAAAAAATACTTTTTTTGCCTCTGTGGTGGTTGTAGAAGTCTCCAAGATGCACCCTTTAGCGCAAAGAAAATTATTTCGTGGCAGTAATTGTTGCTATTTCCTCGCTCATATAAAGAGATTACTTGGGTTTACCCAGTTTATTGTTATTTTAGTTTGTAAGATAAGAATTTTATTGCAAAGGTTAATTGGAAAATGTCATAGTTAACTTTGAGAGATTGTTTATGTTAAATGAAATTTAAGTTGTTGGAGCTTGAAGCTACATTTTGTTGCTGTTATCTTCCAATGGCAATATGTAATTATTAGCTTTGTGTATAATTTCCATTGAAACAAAAAAAAGATGTTGGCTAATCAATATAGATTCAGTCATGAAAATAATAATTTTAACTTATGAAGCTATAAATGAACAGAAATTATGTTTTGTTATTTATATCCGGTAATAAGTTAACTTGCAATAAATTTTCGTGCTTGGCAATTGATGTCATACTCCGAATTTCCATTATATTGTTCATGTTAAGTCATGCTGTGCCACTTCAACAAATTGATCAGATATCATGCTGGCTAGTGACATGATTTGCAGCTTCTGAGATTATTATACAAACTAAGTGACAAATTCACTCCTGGTTAACCTGTTTTAGTGTATAACATTCACACTCAGTATATTTACACACTGTATCCTTGAGTGGAAGAACACTATGTTTTTAAAAAAATGGTTCATAGCTTGGTGAGCTCTGCCTCTCAGGTGTGTTGTTGAGTAGCAATATTAATGAGATAAAAATATTTGAATGCAATTGGTAACCCATAACTGCTCTCTGGGCAATTATGGACACAGAAACAGACCTTTCGGTCCAACTTGTGCGCACCAAGCAGACGTCCCAATCTGACCTAGTCCTATTTGCCAGCATTTGACCCATATCCTTCTAAACCTTTCCTATTCATGTAGCCATCCAGGTGCCTTTTAAATGTTGTAATTGTACCGCTTCCACCACTTCCTCTGGCAGCTTGTTCCAGACATGCACCATCCTCTGCAAGGAAAAAACTACCCCTCGGGTCGTCTTATAAATCTTTCCTGTCTCACCTTAAACCTATGCCCTCCAGTTTTGGACTCCCCCACCCGAGGAAAAAGACCTTGGCAATTCACCCTATCCATGCCCCTCATGACCTTATAAACCTCTATAAGGTCACCCCTCTGTTTCTGATGCTCCAAGATAAAATACCTCAGCCTATTCAGCCTCTCCCTATACCTCAAACAATATAGTCCTGGCAACATCCTTGTAAATTGTTTAGATTAATCAGGCATATTATGCATGGTTAAGGAAAGGTCATGTATTACTACATTTTTGAGGCGTTAATAACTGGGATTGATGAGGGAATGTTGTCTGCATAGATTTTAGTAAAGTATTTGACTGGGTTCCACATGGCAGCCTAGTCAGAACAGTAAAAGCCCATGAAATACAGGGGAATGTGGTCAACAGGATCTAAAATCAGTGACAAAGCAAAGCATAATGGTTGACAGATGGATAGGGGATTGGCTAACTAATAGAAGACAGAGAGTTGCAATAAGGGGGACATTTTCAGGATGGCAATTTGTAATTAGTGGCGTGCCACAGGGATCAGAACTGGGGCCATAATTATTTACAATTGCATTAATGACTTGGACGAGGAAAGTGAAAGTACTATAGCCAAGTTTGCAGATGATGCAGAAATAGGTGGGAGGGCAGGAGAATCACAGAAAGCTAGCATCCACATTTACTGAGTAATAGAATCATAGAATCCTTACAGTGTGGAAACAGGCCCTTCGGCCCAACAAGTCCACACCGACCCCTGGAGCATCCCACCAATCCTAGATGTGTTCATGTCTTCGCACAAAGTCCACACACACACAGCACCGTGAGTGGATGAGCCACATAGTCTCAGGCTCTGTCCCGAGTTAGTCAATCTCATCCTCCCTGAGAGGCCTCGGAGAGGAGCTGGGGGGAAACAACATGTTGACAGGGTCCCTATCCCCAGCCACTCAGGATAGGAAGGGACTCTGTTATGACACATTCAGTAGTCAAATATCTTGTTGATGCTCAAGGCCATGACTTTTGTCTGAACAACAACCACTTAGGAGGGAACTCAGCAAATACACAACTCTTTTAGCACGGGCTAAGAGAGAGAGAAATACAAATTAAAAATCATCAAGAATAAAAAGTTGCTAGAGTCAAACTTCAAAGACGATCCACTGACAGAGAGACATAAACAACAGTTAGCACCCGACCACAGAGCAAGATGAAATTAAAAGTCTGAGATCTTTCTGCCGAAGTTAAACGGGAATCCATTCAGTTATCGGGCCCTCCCACTGCCTCAAATATATGTAAAGGAAGTGGTAGATGCAGGTACAGTTACAACGTTTAAAAGACAATTGGATTGGTTCATGAATAGGAAAAGTTTAAAGGGAACTGGGCCAAAAGCAGGCAAATGGGACTAATTTAGTTTGGGAAACTTCGTCGACATGGACGAGTTGAACCAAAGGGTCTGTTTCCGTGCTGTATGACTCGATATATGAATGATTTGGATTTTAATGTGGGAGGCGTGATTAGGAAGTTTGCAAATGACTCAAAAATTGGCAGTGAAGAGCGTAGCCTCCAACTCCAAAATTATATAATGGCTTAGTTGAGTGGTCAAAAAAGTGGCAAATTCAATCTGGAGAAGTTTGAGGTAGTGCATTTGGGGTGGGCAAGTGCAGCTAGGGAATATAAGTGGGTGAGGATGGGAGAAGAGAGGCGATATGGAGGGACATTGAGGAAGTGAAAGGCCTTAGAGTACACGTTCACAGGACCTTGAAGCGAGTGGAAAACCCATTCAGCCCTCCATTTAATCCTTTGGCCACTACAAAGTTGTGGTTGCCTGCGGGTATTGGTGCCAGTTGGGTCTAAAGTGAGCCTATGTGGCATATCGGCGCTAATGGCTGTGTGTCCTGTGTCAGTTTGTTTTGCCATCCAACATAATGATGGAAAGTGTCTTGCTGCTGGGAGATGGGAGCAGAAGTTCTCTGTGAGTGGGCCTCATCACCGGTTTCCCTCAGTGATGGGCTACACTAAATCCAGCTGATCACTTTATTTCTGCATTCATTGCCTAATATGCTGAGTACAGCAAACTGTTTATCAGCCGGCACTCTTGATAAGCTGGCACAAATAGTATACCTCAAATACTGTGATTTACTGCAATATCTGAGAATTTATACTGTAAATAGTTATAACAGTGATGTGTGTACCCCCTGCAATACATTTCTATTACTGTGTGTTTTCACATTGATTTTAGGAGGGATGTTGATGTTTGTACATAGATTTTTTGAGGGATGTTGATATCTTGAAGCTTTGCTTGGTTATGGTTTGCTGCGTTATGTATACTTCTTGATTATCTGGAATATTTGACCAGCCAGCACAGTCCTGGTCCCATAGGTACTAGTTAATAAAAGGTTTGCTGTATTTCCAGTATTTTCTATTTTTACCCATTTATTTGATTTAGTGGTTAAGGCAGCCAGATACTCATAAATAAAAATGAATAAATAGAGATAAGCTGAGTTAATGTTTGAGTCCAGTGACCCTTTGTCAGAGCTGGATTCATTAACTGGAAATGTTAACTATCTACAGATGCTGTCGGACCCACTGAGTTTCTCCAGTACGCGGATCTTTAGTGTCCATAGATTTTTGTTTTATTTTACTCATTTAACTACGTTCGAAGTAATTTGCACAAGAAAATGCTATCCCAATAAAGAAATTACCAATGAATGTCTCAATTTTTTAAAATAACCTTTGTAAATGCTTTGCTTTTAGGTATGTAGTGAGAAGAATCCGCCTCACCTGGCGTCTTCAGACCAAGATGGCTCCTATCTTGGAATTGTGCCTGCTTGTACCTTAAATCCTTCTGGCAAAGCTAAACAAGTGCTTGTTGGTCCGTCCTTCGCACCACAGCCCGACCTAGGTCTGTATTCCGCAAACCACAATTCTGTCAATCAAGTTCAACATACTGAAAGTTTTCCATCTCAGGATGGTTGTGGTACAAAATCTGGCAATATAATTCGGGGAGAGCCAGTTGCAGACAGACATTATAACATGAACAAACGGGTAGATGTGGGTGCTGTGCAGGCTGGTACCTTTTGTGATTCTGATGCCGGTCAACCTTCACACTGTGGATGGTTGAGAAATAGAGAGCTTGCTGATGAAAATCAATTGACCAATATACGAAATGGACATTTAAAGCCATTAATTGAATGCAGTTGCTGCACTGGAATGTCTCATGACCCAGCAATGAATAATCAAGTGGGAATAATGGCTGACGAAGTTTTGAACGGAAAGAAGCTGCTCATAGACCAAAAGCAGCAACTGATCTGTCAGAAAATGGAGCTGGAGCTGGAGAAAGAAAGACTGCAAAGATTGCTTGCTCAGCAGGAGACTCTTTTCTTCCGAAAGCAACAACAATTACATGAGTCAAGGTTGGATTACAGCAGGTGAGGACTTCACTGAACCTTGAACTTTCCTAATTAGGCAAATTTATCCTCTGAAATTAACCTTTATTAGATTGGCAACAAAGTTTTAATTAAAATGAACTATGTTGTCTATTGATTGCAATGGTTTTGAACCCCTTGGTACAATTTTAATAGGTTTGAACAAAATGGTTCCCATGTGGCTGCAACTTGTATAGTATTTCAGTTTTAACTGCTCTTAATTTTTGCTAAAATTTCACATCTGCATGGCATTCTGAATGCTAACACATTTAGAACAGCTGCAATTCCATAGGGATTTTAATAACATTATAAAATATTTCGTAATTGACAAACACAGCAAACTTCAAAGCTGTTTGGGTGGTAACCAAAATGCTTTGCTGTAAGAGTTTGTGCGTATTAATAGCATAATAAAGCAGTGAAATGGAACGTTATTTCAATATTCAGATCAGGTTGTCAATATATTTTGTATTGGATTACAAATGTAATGTAATTGCAAATACCCCTAGTTTTACTTCAGAGTATAATATAAATTTTTATTCTACAATTAAAAATAGGGGGCCTTCTTTTTTGTTTGAAGAAACTATTTAATTTACTAAGACAAGATTTAAACATCCAGAGATCCCGTGGCTCAATTCAGTGAGTGAAAGAAAATTCCATGTAATTAGTTTTTACTTTTAGCTAATTGATTTTTGCTATGTATCCAAGTAAAATTTCAATATTTAATATGGAGATCAATATTAATTTACTAATGTTAATATTTGGACATCAGAACCAAGCAACCTACTTTAGGTGGTGCAGTTGACTGTTCAAAAGGCTGAAGAGAGATTGGAGAGGACAAGGAATGATTCACTATGGTCACAGCTCCAGATGATATCATTTGTGACTTTGATTAGAGTTGTTTTAGTGCTATGGTTGGCATTGAAGAGATTCAAGTATGGAGCTTCCTGTAAGATGAATTTAGAAGGTGACAACAGATCAAGAGCTTTAAGGGAGAAGGGCTGGTAGTTTTCAGGAAAGTGTTATCAATAGTTGAAATTTAAGGGGAGTTGGTAATGTAGTGATATTGTCACTGATTTACTAATTCAGAGACCCAGGCTATTCCTCTAGGAGCATGTTTACATTCCACCATGATAGATAGTGAAACTTAAAATAGACTAATACAATCTGGAATTAAAGTCTAGTCTAATGGTGATTATGAAATCATTGTTGATTGTTATTAAGAAAAAAATCAGGTTCACTAATGTCCTTTTAGGGCAGAAAGGCTGCTAGCCTTATCTTGTCTGGTCTACAAGTGACTTCAGGCCCAAAGTAATGTGGTTTAGCTGCATGGTGAAATGGCCAAGCAAACTGCTCAGTTTAAAGCTGATTAGGGATGGGCAACATATATTGGCTTGATCACTGATGTCCACATTCCATAACCAGATACAAAAGAAATGAATATTGCAAACATATAATACAAACAAATATTGTTAAGTTTGATATTATCCTTATGAAGTATTCAAGTTACTGCATTGGGATAACTGCTGTACTGTTTTAGAAATTATACCTCTTCTTCATCTCTTTTGGAAGATTAATGTGAGTACATGCTGATAAAAATTTACCTGATTAATTATAAAATGTGAACTTGGAGGGGTGAGTTTTATTTCTTTCCTTGAATAACTTTTTAGTAGACTTTTTTGTGAATATTTATTAAACAGCTGCTGAGTAATAAACTGAAAGGTCTGTGGAGAGATGGTTGTTACATGCTTCTGTTTCAACTGCCATTCACTATTTGGCTCTGTAACTCCTTTAAAACATCGCTGCAATTCTGTTGTTATAAAGCAGAGGTTGACCCCCCCCTCACCACCGACAACTAAAACCAAAACACCCAGAGAGGAGCACCTTGCTCTATAACCTGTTAAAAGGAGTGTGAGAAGGGATGTAATCTTTTTTCTCAGCAGCTTCTAGTGATTAGGTAAAATAAACCCCTGACACTCACTTTACAATCAACAGGTAACAATTTATTTATCTAACTCTAACAGTGAACAAATTAACTATATTATTAACAAACTGACTAAACCCCTTCTAACTACTAACTATTCCCAAATAAAACAAGATTCAAATGGTATGCTGTTCCAATAAATAAAGTCCCACTTATATAAAACAAAAATAATAAAAATAAAATTTAGTCTCAAAATTACAGCCAGGTTACACGTCTTCCGGAATGTTCTGTGCCTTCTCTGTTGAATGTTCTGTCAGGAATGCCTTCTCCATTGAATGTTCCGTCAGGAATATTAACTAGTTGTGCCGTAGCTACCTTTTTTGATTTAGACAGTGCTTTCTCTAAGACTAACGAGTCTGTGGGAGCCAGTGATTCTCTCTTGACTCTAGCAGATGCAGTTCGCTGTCCTGTCTTTGACCAACTGCCCCTTTTTTTATACCCTTGATGACATACCAATATTTCTTATAGTAAGATTGGTCTTGTGTTGTCAAAACCATCAGATTTAAATTTAATTGGTTTTTGATATCTCGGTGTTTGGTTCAAATTAATTGGCTAAATTCAAAACTTGTTGTCTTGATAACTAAACCAAACTGCTGCTTGGCCTGCTGACTGTACAGCCTTTTGATACAAATGTTTCAATTCAGGTGCTCTGTGCACCTGCAAACCTACAAGTTGCTGCCCACGGACCTTCTTTTCAAATCTCTAAGCTTAGAAAAAGCACATTATCGTCTTTTAAAGGGACCATGCACTGCTTTCTCCCCAGCATTTTACAAACACCAATATTTTAATACCAAATTCTACCATCCTGCATTTCAACCCACAAATACTCTACCAACTTCGTGACAATATCATTTGGAGAAACTGCTCAACTAATGCTTACTATTAAGTCAATAATAAGACAGAAATACATAAATGTTTATATTAGCCACAGTTGTAAAAATCTGGACTCCCTCCATCCCCAAACCACCTTGGAATCTTCTTTTGAAGAGAACGAGAATGCTTGAACGTTGACTGGGTGTTTAACTGTGGAGCTGTATTTATCCTGTTTTTGATGTATGTATGTTCCAGCACTTTCCAACAGCAGTCAGTTAATATTGTCCTGAACCACAGCGCTTTTTTCAAAACCTTCCTTCCTCAGATACTGTAATCGTATCTTCCATTTCCTGCCTTCTAAAGCTTTGGAAAAATGACCTTTGAGACCTTCTGGTGTATGCCTTTTTGTATCAGAGTATGTAGTATACTTTACTGCTAAGTCTTCAGGTTAGCAAACTCATGTGTTTATGCTAGGGTCTCTAGAGAAGAGATGAAATGGAGTGAGCTTTGTTGGCATATCTGCTGATATTCGTTGTAGAAACCGACACATACATATTGAAGAACTTACTGGAAGCATGCCTCAACAAAAAAAAAAGGAAGGAAAGCATTGATTGTATTCTCCTGAAATGACAGTATAATGTGCATTACTCCATAAGATTAATTGAATGTGTTTCGACATAGTTTCACAACTATAAATATAACTCAAATACAGTAATGCCTGCGCTGTCAGAGTCCATGGTTTATCCCCCTCCTTTTCCTCCTTCATTCTTGCTCAGGTTACAAAAGGTGTTGTGTGTCCTTTTGAAGTATGCTATCTTTTTTTGTGAGGACTCATTGCAGATAAGGACCGCAGAACTTAGATCTGATCTGTTGGTCATGGAACTACTTAGCTGCATGTCACACTTGCTGCTTGGCGCACGAGTATTCCTGTTTTGCAACTCCACCAGATTGATAGCTCATTTTTAGTTATGCCTGATGTTGCTCCTGGAATGCTGTCCATACTTTTCTTTGAACCCGATACCCTGTAATGAATCTATGATTCTAAGTATGTGTTTTTTTCAAAGCACTTTTGTTCCATTTATATTTAGTCGCCTTTTCATTAAATCTTCTGTGCAGGAGCTGCCTGTCAGATTTTGTGGAACATAGCATTTCTAAATGAAGATCTAAAATGTTGCTTAAGTTTTACAGGTTGCCTGATACAAAATATTTTTACATTCCTGTTTTATGTAGTTTTTGATTGTATTGTTAATTGTAAACATCTTTTATCAAGTTCTCCAGTTTTATTTTAAGTACTTTAGTACTTGTTAGCTTGTGCACAATGTTTCAGCTCTGAGGTGAGAGGTGAGAGCAGAGAGCATGCGTGCGTGTGGGAGGACAGTTGGGTGGAGGAAGGCAGAGACACGTATGGGCTGGAGAGAACTGTGAACCCCCCGCCCCACCCCCAGCACAGAATTCGTTGTTATAAATATCCTTGTACAGTTCCACACAGCAGCAATACATGTTTCCAGGTCCTGATGTAAGTGATTAAGAAACAATCCTGATGTAATGGATTAAGAAACAGCTATGCTGCTCAGCACACATGGAGGAGTTGGTGTTGTTGTGGTAATGTCAGTGGACTAATTCAGCACCTTAAACTAATGTTCCAGAGGCATTGATTCAAATCCCACAGGGCAGATGGTGAGATTTGAAGTCAATAAAAAGCTGGTCTAATGGTGATCACTGTAAATTGTTATGAAGAAAACCTACCTCGTTCATTTTTTGTTCTTTAGGGAAGGAAATCTGCCATCCTTCCCTGGTCCTGCCCATATATGACTCCAGACTCTCAGCAATGTGGTTGACTTTTAACTGCCCTCTGGGCCATTAGAGAGGCAAGACAACGATTTTGCCTCCGTCCATTAATAAATTCTTGTTCTTGGACATGGACCAAAGGAAGCATGGTAAATTAGAAGTTTAACTTCAGGTTGTGAGTACTATAACTTGATGAATGACCTATTAGTTATAGAATCCTTATTAATACATTTATTTTATTCTATGTTAGTATTCTGCTTTTAACACATAATTTGGTTAAACTTTTAACCAGTGATGTAAGATAATTTGGGCATGCCAAAGTTGAACCAGTCACATTTTGAGGGGAGAAAAAATCCTAAAGGGACCCCCATCCTTTTTTGTCACTTAATGATAAACCTTAATTAACATGCAAATTTGAAGT